TATTTTAGCCAACTTTGAGTTGTCACCATCAGTATAGTAACATGGAGAGTTTCCCATCTTGTCAGGAACACCACCAGTTTCCAGGACTTCACTGTTCCAGATGAGGACGACTGTTGTGTCATTCCCAAACTTCAGGAGCTTAAACCATATGAAGAAAGTGCACCTGGACAGTAAACACACCCACACATCTTTATCATATTTCTCAATTTCTTCATTTATTGGTATTAAAAAGCTTCAGAATTAATGTGCTTCTCATAGTGCAGTAAATATTTAAGTAGAGCAGCTGTCCTTCAAACGACATAATTACAGCACAGCTGAAGCATTGACAGAGCAAATACTGTCAGTAAATAGGAAGTGCATTGTGTTTTTTAGATGGGAATTTACATAGTGCTCCAGCAGCTGTCTGATTATATGAGGTAGACTGTATTTATAAAACCTACAGCTTCCAAAACAGCAAATATACGGTATATTACAATTTTACAAATGTTACTGTACTGGTTAAAAATCTATAAAAATGCAAATATGATTCATGTAGCTTCAGGAATCTGTAAAATGTTGGATTGCTGGGCTACGTACACACACGTGTTCAGTCCTACTTTCAAAGGTCTTCATTTACATCCTCATTTTTACACCCTTCAAAATAAAGCCTGGCTTACAGAGCTGGGAGACATGTTACAGCAGAGTAGTAGTGAGGGGGGCAGCAAGTGAAAGTAAAATACATTTTAAAAATATATCAAAGGTTTCTCAGTGCAGAAGTGTCACCTTTACCCGTTTTTTTGGAATTTCCACCTTTTTAGAAAATGGAAAAGCTTCTAACAGAAGAACTGTGATGTGTCAGACTTCATTTGGTAACATCTTGTAGTTTCTGGAAATGTGCATGTTTACTATGAAACTAAGAGACAACCAGAACTACATCAGTTCAAATGTGGCTCTACAGTGTTAGTTAGTCTAAAGCTGCACTGTGGTTGACAATTGACGTTGCATGTTGTACTACAAAGCTGTCTTTTTGCTGTTGTTTTACAGTCATTCATGCTCATTTTGCATCTTTTTTCTCAGTTTGTGTCATTTTGTAATTGTTCTAAATTTCTTTGTGGTTGTTTTACATCTTT